CTTATTTACAACAAGCAAAAGGTTGATCTTACCGGGACGGAAAACCAAAGCCCAGATGATGGCACATTGACGTCAAAAACCTGCATAAAGGGCAACCTGAGACATGAATATATGAAAACAAACGTAGTGTCAGACGTAGTCTACCAGCTTAATGGATTTGAAGTAAAAAGTGAATAGAAATATAAGAAGTATGTCCAATGGAGCATTTATGTCAGCATGAATCTGGGTTTCCTACCCACATTGTTTATTGTTTTGTCTGCTTTTTTCCCTCCCAGCCACCAGTTTATTAAAAAAAATTTGTGGACACTGACTCTCCTCAATGCTCACGTCTCTGTGTGATGCTGTCCCACCCCCCCCCCCCACCCCCCCCCCCACAGATAGTTTTCTTTTAATTCTGAACAGCCAGTGTGTTATCTGATCTGCCCTTGGCCACCCCTGCACAGTGATGCTGGTGGCAGCGCTTGGAGATTGACAAAGTTCCCCTCTTCTCTTCCAATAAACAAGTCCAGTCGTTTAGTAACGCAACACTGCCGATAGCCAATACAGCCCTGGTGAGAATCGCTGGTGTCGGGGCGTAATGCAGACACTGAAAGGACCCCTTTGTTGCTTGTGGCCTCGCACATTTGTACGCCCCCCCCCCCCCTTCTTCCACATCTGTGTGGCACATTTAGAAGTTTAGGAGCGAGACTGTCCATGGTGCAGTTGTACGAACTACGAAGTCACAAATAAGGTGTTTTCCCCTCCCCTCCTCTCCCATTCCATTGTATTTTTTTATTTTTTTTATTAGACAGGTATAAATGCTAGTTAAGGAAAAGGTGTTAGATCTTGACAAAGACCGTCCGACTGTTTGACTGACGTGGAGAGCCAATCGTTGGGGTATTTTCTATGCTGATATGTGATTAGGAGTGTCAGTCATTCATTAAAGGATGATGTTTGTGTGCTTGTGTGAGTGAGTGTGTGTGTGTGTGTGTGTGTATGTATGCGTACGTACGTCTGCCTGCTGCGTAATTCCATGTTATTTCAGCAAGCCATGACATCCACCATCTCAGATTTTCCTGAAATCGTTTCTGTAGTTAGAAACAGATATTACCATTCCTGCAACATTATTTTGTTGAAATATCATTTGATTTCTGAGAAATTAAGCTAATTCATTCCACCCAAATTGGCAAATTTTAATTGATAGCGTTCATATAATATTCAATTAATTTACACTACGTACAGTGGGGGAAAAAAGTATTTAGTCAGCCACCAATTGTGCAAGTTCTCCCACTTAAAAAGATGAGAGAGGCCTGTAATTGTCATCATAGGTACACGTCAACTACGACAGACAAATTGAGATTTTTTTTCTCCAGAAAATCACATTGTAGGATTTTTAATGAATTTATTTGCAAATTATGGTGGAAAATAAGTATTTGGTCACCTAAAAACAAGCAAGATTTCTGGCTCTCACAGACCTGTAACTTCTTCTTTAAGAGGCTCCTCTGTCCTCCACTCGTTACCTGTATTAATGGCACCTGTTTGAACTTGTTATCAGTATAAAAGACACCTGTCCACAACCTCAAACAGTCACACTCCAAACTCCACTATGGCCAAGACCAAAGAGCTGTCAAAGGACACCAGAAACAAAATTGTAGACCTGCACCAGGCTGGGAAGACTGAATCTGCAATAGGTAAGCAGCTTGGTTTGAAGAAATCAACTGTGGGAGCAATTATTAGGAAATGGAAGACAAACAAGACCACTGATAATCTCCCTCGATCTGGGGCTCCACGCAAGATCTCACCCCGTGTGGTCAAAATGATCACAAGAACGGTGAGCAAAAATCCCAGAACCACACAGGGGGACCTAGTGAATGACCTGCAGAGAGCTGGGACCAAAGTAACAAAGCCTACCATCAGTAACACACTACGCCGCCAGGGACTCAAATCCTGCAGTGCCAGACGTGTCCCCCTGCTTAAGCCAGTACATGTCCAGGCCCGTCTGAAGTTTGCTAGAGTGCATTTGGATGATCCAGAAGAGGATTGGGAGAATGTCATATGGTCAGATGAAACCAAAATATTACTTTTTGGTAAAAACTCAACTCGTCGTGTTTGGAGGACAAAGAATGCTGAGTTGCATCCAAAGAACACCATACCTACTGTGAAGCATGGAGGTGGAAACATCATGCTTTGGGGCTGTTTTTCTGCAAAGGGACCAGGACGACTGATCCGTGTAAAGGAAAGAATGAATGGGGCCATGTATCGTGAGATTTGAGTGAAAACCTCCTTCCATCAGCAAGGGCATTGAAGATGAAACGTGGCTGGGTCTTTCAGCATGACAATGATCCCAAACACACTGCCCGGGCAACGAAGGAGTGGCTTCGTAAGAAGCATTTCAAGGTCCTGGAGTGGCCTAGCCAGTCTCCAGATCTCAACCCCATAGAAAATCTTTGGAGGGAGTTGAAAGTCCGTGTTGCCCAGCGACAGCCCCAAAACATCACTGCTCTAGAGGAGATCTGCATGGAGGAATGGACCAAAATACCAGCAACAGTGTGTGAAAACCTTGTGAAGACTTACAGAAAACGTTTGACCTGTGTCATTACCAACAAAGGGTATATAATAAAGTATTGAGAAACTTTTGTTATTGACCAAATACTTATTTTCCACCATAATTTGCAAATAAATTCATTAAAAATCCTACAATGTGATTTTCTGGATTTTTTCCCCCTCATTTTGTCTGTCATAGTTGACGTGTACCTATGATGAAAATTACAGGCCTCTCTCATCTTTTGAAGTGGGAGAACTTGCACAATTGGTGGCTGACTAAATACTTTTTTTCCCCACTGTACGTGACCAAATGTAGGTGGACACCTTCTCATCGAACATCTCATTCCAAAATGATGGGCATTAATATGGAGTTGGTCCCCCCTTTGCTGCTATAACAGCCTCCACTCTTCTGGGAAGGCTTTCCACATTGCTGCGGGGAATTGCTTCCATTCAGCCACAAGAGCATTAGAGAGGTTAGGCGCTGATGTTGGGTGATTAAGCCCTTCAGTCGGCCTTCCAATTCCTCCCAGAGGTGTTAAATGGGGTTGAGGTCAGTGCTCTGTGCAGGCCAGTCAAGTTCTTCCACAACGATCTTGACAAACTATTTATGTATGGACCTCGCTTTGAGCAAGGGGGCATTGTCATGCTGAAACAGGAAAGGGCCTTCCCCAAACTGTTGCCACAAAGTTGGAAGCACAGAATCGTCTAGAATGTAATTGTATGCTGTAGCGTTACGATTTCCCTTCACTGGAACTAAGAGGCCTAGCCCAAACCATGAAAAACATCCCCAGACCATAATTCCTCCTCCACCAAACTTTACAGTTGGCACTGCATTGGGGAAGTTAGCATTCTCCTGGCATCCGCCAAAACCAGATTCGTCTGTCGGACTGCCAGATGGTGAAGCGTGATTCATCACTCCAGAGAACGTGTTTTCCACTGCTCTAGAGTCCAATGGCGGCGAGCATCACACCACTCCAGCCGATGCTTGGCATGTTCTGCCATGGAAACCCATTTCATGAAGCTCCCGACGAACAGTTATTGTGCAGATGTTGCTTCCATTGGCAGTCTGGAACTCGGTAGTGAGTGTTGCAACCGAGGACAGACAATTTCTATGCGCTACGCACTTCAGAACTCGGTGTCCTGTTCTGTGAGCTTGTGTGGCCTACCACTTCATGGCTGAGCTGTTGCTGCTCCTAGATGTTTCCACTTCTCAATAACAGCACTTACAGTTGACCAGGGCAGCTCTAGTAGGGCAGAAATTTGACGAACTGACTTGTTGGAAAGGTGGCATCCTATGACGGTGCCACGTTGAAAGTCACTGATTTGAAGGGGTGTCCACATACTTTAGTATATATAGTGTAGTACCTTACATCCGATTTGGACCAACCTTTTTTCTAACAATGTGTAGCACATGAGGAATCCAAATAAATTGTCAAAAGCCACCCACGGACACCCCACACCAATCCCAACCCAACAACGAGTATACAGTATCAGTTCTCTATGTCTGACAAGTAGTATGGAGCTGCGGCTCTGAGTATTGTTTCTTCATCCTATGTAATGTATGGTGATTCTTTTTCCCCTATTCAGAGAAATTAGTAATTGAAGTTGTTAGGTTTATGTCCGATCCTCCATCCTGATATTACCAGGTTCTGACCACCAGATGGTGCTGTTTCTGCGGTTAGGTGATTTTATCATGTTAAAGGGATAGTTCACCCAAATTAAAAAAAATACAATCACCTAATAGCAGAAACAGCACCATCTAGTGGTCAAAATCGGGTAATATCAGGATGTAGGATGGGACATAAACCTAACAACTTCAATGAGTAATTCCTCTGAACATGGAAAAAAACATTCACTGGGAATAGATGACATAGGATGAAGAAACAATACGCCGAGCCGCAGCTCCATACTACTTGTTAGACATTGTCAGGAATGCTAATATTATCTGTTTCTAACAACAAATGTGGTGTCTCGGATGGTTTCCCACATACATTGGTTTGAATGGCTTCTATAGCAAGGACCTACAGTATACAGTAGTTACAGGTATCATGGGGATTCTGTATGAATGTAAGGTCTTTGAGGCAAAGATAAAGGTAAACACGGGTGTAGCACATTTGGGTCTTCATTCTTGCAGTGTCTGCGCCTGCGTGAGACCATGATATTTACTAAGCTCACAGGATGACGTTCACCCCCAACCTTAACCTTAAGTAAACTTACAGCATATTGCTGTACACAAACCAATGATACTTCAGTAAGACCAGACTCGAACCAGCATCTTTGTCTTTCCTCTACTACCCATGCAGGCCTTTTTGCACAGAATCCGACAAACTGCAGAGGAGCAACAGTGTTTGTCACCTGAGCATGTCAAGGTAGATATGACCTTTTCCTTTTAAAATGTTTGGGCCATAATAGCCTTGTAATCTCTTCTGCAGAGTGAAAGTGTATTGGGGCATTGTAATGCTTTGATAATAGTAAACATGGACATGTTTTATAAGATACTGCCCTCGGGTGAGTATGTGTCACAACTTTGAATACAAAGTGAAACGTTGAAATGACTGAACTACTGGGAGTGTGTGTCTCTGCTACCATAGACCCTGTTTTCCAACATCGAGTCCATCCTGGACGTTCACAGAGAGGTTCTGTCTGCATTGGAGGCCAGCCTGCAGCCGGAGCCACAGCCCGGGCACGCCCTCGGACACGTCTTCCTCCAGTTTGTGAGTGACACACACTTCCATTCACACGCACACACGTGTATACGCACACAGAGACCGGCATGATCATAAACACAGACACACACACACACGTACACGCGCGCACACACAAACATACACACACACAGTCAACTCTATTTGTTTCACCCTTTTCACTGTTTCCATTAACCACAGTTGAGGATAAAACTTCAAAACTGCTAAGAATAAAATAAAATAGCCCTCCACAACTCTCTTTCACATAATAATATACACAATCCACTCCTTCTCTTCCCTACTCACCAATTTGTCCCCCCATCCCACTCCCCCATCCCCTCAAAAAGCCTGTATCCTGTTAGCCAGAAAGACCCCTCTTTCTGTTGCTTGCCAGCCCCATGCAAGGCCCCTGGTCACTGGCATCCCCTTCAGCAGATTGCTTTCCACCTCCCGTCATCTCTTCCTACCAACCCCTCCCTCTCATCCTCATCCCCCCCCCCCTTTTGAACTAATTTGGCCCTTGGGGACAACCAATAACTGCCTTTGTCGTGGGAAGAGATGACGGTGTCAGTCATCAATGGGACAATGGCGGAACTAGTTGCTCTCGAGCGCATACACACAGAAACACACACACACACACACAGAGTCACGTGCCCACACATACATACATACATACATACATATACACACACACATACACACACGGACACACACACACTGAGGGGACTTTGTAGAATAAGAGGCGTTGAATGGAACATTCATTCAGTTGAAGGAAAGTATGCTGTAAATGGGGTTTGTTCAAAGGGAAAGCTCCTGTAGTCAAAACAGAAAACGATCAGTATTATCATCGTTCATTGTATCAGTTGAATGGATTTCAAAATGCCTTAAACTTAAACATCTTTAAACTTCAGAATTTCAAGGAATGAGAGACTCACCTGTCATTTTTTTTACCCAACTAAAATCTTCTGTAATAAGGTTTTTCGTTTAGTTATAGTACATTGGTCTGTGTAGTAGTACCAGAGAAAGTGAGAGGCCTCCCAAGTATTCCTCACACAGCAGTGGTTTGTCCGGAAAATGTTGAATGGGGTGGCCAAAGTGGGGCACAGACCCAGTTTAGGGTGGTCATAACATTTTGAACCTTAATCGATGCAAGGTGGATTTTTTCCAATATAATTATGATGGTTCAACGCATTAAATGCTTCAGCTTTGGTTTGGTACATTTCCCTGTTCAAATAAATCATAAATCAATTCCAAAAGTATTGTTAGTGTTTGCATTCAAGGTGAAACTTTTATATAAGGGTATTTGCAAGTAGGGAATAAAAATATATATATTTTATGGGCTTTATAGTAAAGACGTACTTTAACTATGAACATTTATTACCATTTTAATGTGACATGATACAATTGTATTAGTCACATGCTTCGTAAACTAACAGTGAAATGCTTACTTACGGGCCCTTCACAACAATGCAGAGAGAAAGAAAATAGAGAAATAATAGAAAAGTAAAACACGTAATAATAAAAGTAGTAATAAATACACAACGAGTAACGATAACTTGGCTATATACACGGGGTACCAGTACCGAGTCGATGTGCAGGGGTACGAGGTAATTGAGGTAGATATGTACATATAACTAGGAATAAAGTGACAGATAATAAACAGTAGCAGCAGCGTATGTGATGAGTCAAAAAAGATAGTGCAAAAAGGGTCAATGCAGACAGTCCGGGTAGCTACTTGGTTAACTATTTAACTAACTATTTAGCAGTCTTATGGCTTGGAGGTAGAAGATGTTCAGGGTCCTGTTGGTTCCAGACTTGGCACTGCTTGCCATGCGGTAGCAGAGAGAACAGTCTATGACTTGGGTGACTGGAGTCTTTGACAATTCTTTGGCCCTCCCTCTGACACCGCCTGGTATAGAGGTCCTGGATGGCAGGAAGCTCGGCCCCAGTGATGTAATGGGCCATACGCATTACCCTCTGTAGCACCTTGTGGCCGAATGCCAAGCAGTCGCAGTGATGCAGCCAGTCAAGATAACTTTTTGAGGATCTGAGGGCCCATGCCAAATCTTTTCAGCCTCCTGAAGGGGAAGAGGCGTTGTCGTGCCCTCTTCACGACTGTGTTGTCGTGTGTGGAACATGATAGATCCTTAGTGATCTGGACACAGAGGAAGTTGAAGCTCTTGAACCGCTCCACCACAGCCCCGTCGATGGGAATGGGGGTGTGCTCGGCCCTCCGTTTCCTGTAGTCCACAATCAGCTCCTTTGTCTTGCTGACATTGAGGGAGGGGTTGTTGTCCTGGCACCACGCAGCCAGGTCTCTGACCTCCTCCCTATAGGCTGTCTCATCGTCATTAGTGATCAGGCCTAGCATCGTCGTGCTATCGGCAAACTTAATGATGGTGTTGGAGTCATGTGCGGCCACACAGTCGTGGGTGAAGAGGGAGTACAGGAGGGGACTAAGCACGCACCCCTGAGGAGCCCCCCGTGTTGAGGGTCAGTGTGGCCTGTGTGTTGTTGCCTACCCTCACCACCTGGGGGCGATCCGTCAGGAAGTCCAGGATCCAGTTGCAGAGGGAGGTGTTCAGTCCCAGGGTCCTGAGCTTTGTGATAAGCTTGGAGGGCACTATGGTGTTGCACACTGAGCTGTAGTCAATGAACAGCATTCTCACATATGTGTTCCTCTTGTCCAGGTGGGAAAGGGCAATATGGAGTGAAATAGAGATTGCGTCATCTGTGGATCTCTTGGGGTGGTATGCGAATTGGAGTGGGTCCAGGGTGGTGATATGAGCCATGACCAGCCTTTCAAAGCATGTCATGGCTACAGATGTGAGTGCTACGGGGAGATAGTCATTTAGACAGGTTACCTTGGCATTCTTGGGCACAGGGACTATGGAGGTCTGCTTGAAACATGGAAGTATTACAGACTGGGTCAATACGCGTGCTGGTAATCTGTCTGGTCCTGCGGCCTTGTGAATGTTTACCTGTTTTAAATGTCTTACTCACATTGGCTACGGAGAGCGTGATCACACAGTCGTCCGGAACAGCAGGTGCTGTCATGCATGGTTCTGTGTTGCGTGCCTCAAAATGAGCATAGAAGGCATTTAGCTCGTCTGGTAGGCTCGCGTCACTGGACAGCTTGCAGCTGGGTTTCCCTTTGTACTCTGTGATAGTTTGCAAGTCCTGCCACATCCGAAAAGTGTCAGAGCCGGTGTAGAAGGATTCGCTCTTAGTCCTGTATTGAAACTTTGCCTGTTTGATGGTTCTTATAAGCGTCCGGATTAGTGTCCCGCTCCTTGAAAGTGGCAGCTATAGCTCAATGCGGATGTTGCCTGTAGTCCATGGCTTCTGGTTGGGATATGTACATACGGTCACTGTGGGGACGACATTGTCGTTGCACTTATTAATGAAGCAGGTGACTGATGTGGTAAACTCCTCAATGCCATCGGATGAATCCTGGAACATATTCCAGTCTGTGCTAGTGAAACAGTCCTGTAGCTTAGCATTCGCTTCATCAGACCACTTCCATATTGAGCGCGTCACTGGTACTTGCTATTTGAATTTTTGGTTGTAAGCAGAAATCAGGATAGAGTAATGGTCAGATTTGCCAAATGGAGTGCGAGGGAGAGCTTTTTTATGCATTTCTGTGTGTGGAGTAAAGGTGGTCTAGAGTTTTTTTCTCCTCTAGTTGCACCTGTGACATGCTGGTAGAAAATAGGTAAGACTGATTTTCAGTTTTCCTGCATCAAAATCACCGGATCACCGCTTCTGAATTAGCATTCCCTTGGTTTCTTATTGCCCTATACAGCTTGTTGAGCGCTGTCTTCGTGCCAGCATCTGTTTGTGGAGGTAAATAGACAGCTGTGAAAAATATAGATAAACTCTCTTGGTAAATAGTATGATCTACAGCTTATCATGAGGTATTCGAACTCAGGCGAGCAGAACCTCGAGACTTCCTTAATAGATCGTGCACCAGCTGTTGTTAAGAGACACACCTTGAGCTTACCCAACGCTGCTGTTCTGTCTAGCTGATGCATAGAAAAACCAGCTAGATGTATATTGTCCTTGTTCAGCCACGACTGCAACAAACATAGTATATTACAGTTCTTCAGGATAGTCTCGAACGGAGCTCGTCCAGTTTGTTCTCCAGTGATTGTACTTTCGCCAATAGAACGGAGGGAAGGGGCGGTTTAGGTATTCGCTGACGTAGTTTCTTCAGGGTGGCCTCTCTTACGGCTTTTTTTTCTTTTCTTTGGGTCTCTGGGATTTGGGCCTGGTCCGGGGTGAGCAGTATGTCCTGCGCCGCCGACTCGGTGAAGTAGAAATCTTAATCCACATCGAGGTTAGTGATCACTGTTTTGATGTCCAGAAGCTCTTTGCTGTCATAGGAAACGATGGCGTAAACATTATGTGCAAAAAAACACAATAGCAGAGTTGGTTGCAGCTTTCCATTGCAACGCCATTCTAAATAACACAACCAGTTATGAGCTTTTCATCTGATTTGTCAAAAAAATCACTTCAAAAAGTACAGTAAGGAGGTTACCTGCACACGCTCGTCTACTCCAAAATAAGTCCAGCATTCGAACAGTGCACTGTGCACCCACCGTTTAAATTACGAACACCATACGTGTATTGACATTCAGCCTAGAAAGTGGTGTGTATTCATAGATGCCAAGGGAAGCCAGCCCCCCCCCCCCCCCCCCTCCCCAACACACACACACAATCTGTGTTTCATAAATATCACCAGAGAAAGCATCTGAGCGAGGCAAACAGCGCCCCTGATACGTCCTATCAGATCTCGGGTGGGAGGGGGGCACTGGAGTGGCCAATCAGATTTCAGGTGTGTGTGTGGCGAGGACACACCACTGACACACAGCCAGTTCTCAAGGGCAGGGGTCGGACAACTGCATTGATTAAAGCGCTTCAAAATGTTTCCATTGCTCTCAGAGCTGAGGTCAGAGAAGGCTGAGTGGAGCGAGCATTAACTGGGGGGGGTGTCTGTGCATTTTCAACTGTGTGTGTGTGTGTGTAAGCATGTGTGTTGATTTTGGATGTGGGGAGGGGTGTCTTCACACGGCCACTTGCTTTGTAGCTCTTTATCCATTACAGGGCTCTCTCTGTCTGTGACTCCTCTCTCCTTCAACACCGACAGCCTACACCTCTCGCCCAATCAATTGCCCCCGTCTTGTGCCACAGCATAACCCAGTATTGTTCAGGGGGCCATTCACTGTCAATCACAATCGCAGCCTGCGGATGAATACATACAGATTCACCGCTCTCTCAAGCTCTGTCATTTCCAATGTTGCTTATAGGCCACAGTATAACCTCAGCACCATGGCTTGATTCCAGTTCAAAAACATACTCCTGATGTCGGAGAGGTGGAATAAATAGGAGCCTCAAATATTACCTGCTTTTAAGGCGTGCATGTTGTTGGATCATTGGGATTTTGCAATGCCAGGCAGGCTGAGCCAACTCTGCGCAGAACGTTTGAACCACCTTGGCGTGAGGCGGAGGATTACACAAACCTACCCCAAAAACTACTAGAGAATGTTAATTCAGATATTTGCTCTATTTCTGGACCGTCTCCTGACCAAGGCCTCTTTTTCTCAGAACCAACAGTCATCGTATTATGTCCCTTCTTAAATAGACTTATTATGCTTTGAGCTTTGACACACTTATTGTGTTTGAAATACCCCTCTTCTCCCTCTGAAATACCTCTGGAAAAGGAAGAAAAGCAAGTGTTTATCTGAGGCACAAACACACTCTTTGAGCTATTCTGAGCACAAGTGGAGCCCTTCAGATCAGACCCAGTTTGTTCAGGGCTCACCCGGCTTTGGAATTGAACGGGTCACATTCAGGTCCTTAACCCGTTACACTCGTGGGCATTGGCCTATATGGATAGGCCTAAATTGAAATAAATATGAAAAGAATAGTAGCAATTGAAAGAGAACAGTTTGGAAATTATGGGGGAAATTATTAGACCAAAGTTGAGGACAGAACAGTTCACATGACACAAGACTGAATCCAAACATTACACTGTTGATTTTATGTGCATTTTACATTTTCTGTACTTTTCGCTGCATTTGTTGATAAGAAAATCAGAAAATACTCTGAAAACATTCAGTAAGATTATAAGAATATTCCTGGAAAATGTGGGGTAAGTGCAACATAAGTAAAAACATGACAAGGGTTTGAGTGTGAGGACTAACTGGTGTCTCCAAGTGGCCAGACACCTCTCCAGAGTGTGCGCAGTTCCTAAGTAATTTCAATGCACTTTTATGGCTCAAATAAAAGTCGACTATAAGGTACTTTTTTGAGCTCTCTCGTTGTGCCGTTGAGGAACTAGAGCAAGCACACTTGTAGTTGTTTTGTTTGGAACACAACCCTGTATCCCCACAATCACACAATTACTGTTGTTGTTTACACTATCCAAAAATGGCCCATTATAAATCGCAATCTGGGTCAGGTGGGCATAATTTAAAAGCTTGTTCTATTGCCAATATTACTAGCTACAGTGCCTTGCAAAAGTATTCATCCCCCTTGGCGTTTTTCCTATTTTGTTGCATTACAACCTGTAATTTAAATGTATTTTATTTGGATTTCATGTAATGGACATACACAAAATAGTCCAAATTGGTGAAGTGAAATTAAAAAAATAAAATAACGGAAAAGTGGTGCATGCATATGTATTCACCCCCTTTGCTATGACGCATGCTCAAGTTTTCTGTTTTTTTGTCTTATTTCTTGTTTGTTTCACCCCAAAAAATATTTTGCATCTTCAAAGTGGTAGGCATGTTGTGTAAATGAAATGATACAAACCCCTCAAAAATCCATTTTAATTCCAGGTTGTAAGGCAACAAAATAGGAAAAATGCCAAGGGGGGTGAATACATTCGCAAGCCACTGTAAGTTATGAAAATACGATTTTACAGTGTTAGGCTTTCAAAAGGCAATTCAGAGAAACCGATTTTGTAATTTTGGTGCGCATAGAAAGGAGTCATGCGCGCATTCAGGTGCGTGTCCCGCAGTGAATTTTCTTCACAATAGACACAGGCTCATTCTGTTCAGAACAACCCATGGTATGACGCCATGTCATCTTGTAACTGTATATCAAACATAGTGATCATTAACGTTGACACTGTATATGACATGAGTTTTATGATATAGAAATGTAAAGTGCACATTTGGACTTGCTTGTATGACATCAAAGCGCTATTTATTATAATCCTCAACGTCTCATCTTTCAAAATAAATCGAGTCCTCTTAATTTACTGAATTTCCTTCACTCAGACAACAAAACATTTGCAAAAGTTCTGAACAGCTGTCAGTCAAAACCCATACAGCGCTGTAAAGCACAGAGCCTTTAGCATGTTACTGTACAGCCACTGCTTTCCGATTTTGGCGCTTATCAGTGGCCAAATCTGCCATTTTCAACCCGTGTACGAGTGTAAAGGGATACAGAAATGCCCATAAGGTAAGCTTAAAGTGGAATGTTCAGTTTTCAAAGTCCTTAACAAATTATGCTTTAAGCTAAGTAGTAGTAGCTCAGTAGATAGTCTGAAGACGGTCACAGACGATTCATGGTCTTTTCTTGCTTGTGGTGTTCTATGGAAACTGGCAAAAAACATTGATATGTTATGAGGTAGTCATGATCTTTGAAGTATGTAATGAAAGATGCATGTTGAAAGAATGTGATCTGGTGTTTTAAACATTGCCTCCGAAAATATGGGCCACGCGCCCATGCGCACACACACATTGAAGACCAATTTACAACTCCCGACCTTCCCTTCGCCCTCTACAGTATTGTCTGCTTTGTGTGTTTAAAATTTCAAACCATATGCTGGGCCAGCTGTTGCTCCCGGTGATGCCTCAGACTTTGTTGCCCTGCCAGCTGCGGTTTTAGCCTTTCTGTGTGTGTTTGCTTGTGTGCCTGCGTGCAAGTGTGGCCGTGTGTGTGTGCGCGTGAGTGGGGCAGCGGAGCCCCGGGCTACGCTATGCCTTTGTTGCCTTGCCGTCATCTATAGTCATCATGGGAACTGGAGACAGGCTGAACGTAATGTTACATAAAAGCCAGATTAGTTTTCTCCCCCCGCTGCATTGCCATGTGGACCTGACACAGTCATGAGATGAGGAGGATAGAAGGCTAGATTAGACTGTAGCAGCCTAGCTTCTTGAGTTTGACTTGACCCCCCCCCCCCCCCCCCCCCCCGTTTCCAAAAAGCTGTGAGAGTCTGCATTTAGAATGGAGAGAGAGAGCGAGACAGAGACAGGGAAACAGAGGGAGATACTGAGACCAATGGAGCACCTCGTCAAGATTGTTACCTTTTACAATACTTTGCCCCATCAGAATTTTCACAATGACATGCCTGATAGAAATCATGTGCAGCATTCTTACCTCATTCTCAATATTCTAATGGCGAACAAAAACAAATTTAACAATCTCAAACAGCCTCAACAGAGTGACTGAGTGCACTGTTAAGTTGCTACCTTAAATGCACACATCCAGCTTTTGAGAGAGAGAGTAATTTCCCTGAAGGTTGTGAGGATATGCTAGCCTTGCACGCTCGAGCTAGAATTTAATTTTCTGCTCAGTTTCGGGTGACAGCAGCAGCGTTTTGGTAACCAACTGTGGAGTGCTGAGGCCCAGCACTGAAGCTGGTTTCACTTCCTAAATGCTAGTGTACAACACTATAGGGCCCATCTGGGGTTTTGGGCTGTAGCCTAAATTGAATTCTGAGATTGCCTAGGCCTATACATTGTTCCTAATGGTAGATGAATAATGCATTGATCCTATGTTTATCCCAGCTATCATATTATTAAGTGTTCATGAGGAAAGCCTTCAGTGGGCAAACCTATAGGACAGTTCAGTATATCCACTAGCTAGAACTGTGTCAGTGTGATTAGAGGAAGTTCTGAGTGCTTTCTCTGTGCAGTATTTACCCACATAAGGAAACCCTTTACTACAGAAACATCTCATTGACATTTTTACCCAATCTGAATATTATTATTATCTCAAGATGAATTCTGTGTATCGGAGTTACATTTCAATTAAACAAAATTTGTCGACATTATCACTTGAGCTGTGTTTTACAAAAAATAGTTAAACAATTTGGTTTCAAAAGATTCAATTCCAATTTTTTATATTTGGATCAGATTGGGCACTGACTGACTTGTTGTTTCTTCCTCCATCTTTCAGAAGGGGCGGTTCTCTGTGTATGGGGAGTACTGCAGTAACCACGAGAAGGCCCTGAGGCTGCTGATGGAGCTCAACAAGATCCCCGAAATCAGGACCTTCCTCCTGGTGAGGATCCTAGCGCTGACGCAAGTTGTCTACTTTTCACGTATCTCCTTTTTGTCTCTTTCTCTTTTTCTTCCTCTACAGTGCATTCGGAAAGTATTCAGACCCCTTTACTTTTTCCACATTTTGTTATGTTACAGCCTTATTCTAAATGTGATTAAATCGTTTTTTCCCCTAATTAATCTACACACAATACCCCATAATGACAAAGCAAAAACAGGCTTTTAGAATTTTTTGAAAAAATTAATAGAATGACAAAAATATATATAACATTTACATAAGTATTCAGACCCTTTTCTCAGTACTTTGTTGAAGTATTATTGGCACCGATTACATCCTCGAGTCTTCTTTGGTATGACGCTACAATCTTGGCACACTTGCATTTGGGGAGTTTCTCCCATTTCTTCTCTGCAGATCCTCAAGCTCTGTCAGGTTGGATGGGGAGTGTCGCTGCACAGCTATTTTCAGGTCTCTCCAGAGATGTTCAATCGGGTTCAAGTCCGGGCTCTGGCTGGGCCACTCAAGGACATTCAGAGACTTTCAGAGAGCCACTCATGCGTTGTCTTGGCTGTGTGCTTAGGGTCGTTGTCCTGTTGGAAGGTGAACCTTCGCCCCAGTCTGAGGTCCTGAGTGCTCTGGCGCAGGTTTTCATCAAGGATCTCTCTGTACTTTGCTCTGTTCATCTTTCCCTCGATCCTGACTAGTCTCCCAGTCCCTACTGCTGAAAAACATCCCCACAGCATGATGCTGCCACCACCATTCTTCACCGTAGGGATGGTGCCAGGTTTCTTCCAGATGTGACGCTTGGCATTCAGGCCAAAGAGTTCAATCTTGGTTTCATCAGACCAGATAATATTGTTTCTCATGGTCTGAGAGTCCTTTAGGTGCCTTTTGGCAAACTCCAAGCGGGCTTTCATGTTCCTTTTACTGAGGAGTGGCTTCCTTCTGGCCACTATATCATAAAGGCCTGATTGGTGGAGTGCTGCAGAGATGGTTGTCCTTCTGGAAGGTTCTCTCATCTCCACAGAGGAACTCTAGAGCTCTGTCACAGTGACCATCGGGTTCTTGGTCACCTCCCTGACCAAGGCCCTTCTCCCCCAATTGCTCAGTTTGGCCAGCTCGAGGAAGAGTCTTGGTGGTTCCAAACTTCTTCTGTTTAAGAATTATGTAGGCCACTGTGTTCTTGGGGACCTTCAATGCTGCAGAAATGTTTTGGTACCCTTCCCCAGATCTGTGCCTTGACACAATCTCTACAGACAATTCCTTCAACCTCATGGCTTGGTTTTTGCTCTGACATGCACTGTTAACTGTGGGACCTTATCTAGACAGGTGTGTGCCTTTCCAAATACATTTACATTTACATTTTAGTCATTTAGCAGACGCTCTTATCCAGAGCGACTTACAGTTAGTGAATACATATATTTTTTTTTATTTTTTTTTCTTCTTTTTTTTTTTTTTTTTCAAACTGGTCCCCCGTGGGAATCGAACCCACAACCCTGGCGTTGCAAACGCCATGCTCTATCAACTGAGCTACATCCCTGCCGGCCATTCCCTCCCCTACCCTGGACAACGCTAGGCCAATTGTGCGCCGCCCATGAGTCTCTCAGTCGCGGCCGGCTGCGACAGAGCCTGGATTCGAACCAGGATCTCTAGTGGCACAAATCATGTCCAATCAATTTAATTTACCGCAGGTTGACTCCAATCAAGTTGTAGATTGGAAATAGGATGCACCTGAGCTCAATTTTGAGTCTCATAGCAAAGGGTCTGTGTATTTCAGTTTTTTTTTTTTTTTTTATAAGTTAGCAACATTTCAAAAAAACCTGTTTTCGCTTTGTCATTATGGGATATTGAGGTTAAGGAAAATAATTGAATCCAGTTTAGAATAAGGATGTAACGTAACAGAATGCACTGTATATATTCTTCCTCCCGTTCTATTTGTCTTCCACCATGTTCTCTCCCTCTACTCTTCTTGTCATCCTCTTCCTCCCACCCCTTCCTCCTTTCCCCCTTAATCCTTTTCTCCCTTGACCTCTTCCCCTGCTTTGCATCTTTTCCCTCCTTTTCCACTTCCCTCTCTTTCCTTTCCACCTCTTTTCCTTCTTTCCATCCTACTCCTCTTCATCATGTCACCTCTTCTTCCGTTTAAATGTTAATGTTTGTTCTAAAAAGAACATGAATTGGTATAAGGTTGCTTGGTACTACAGCAAACTCACCATGTAACCACAAAGTGTGTGAAGGTCGTTTTGGCACCAGAAATCCAGCTGTTTCCTTGTTTTGACACCCCTTTGACACCCTTTCTTGCCCCTCTACAATAAACACAGGAACCGCCTTTGACTATGCTTCCAACGGTGATGTCATGCTCAGTGCGAGCTGGCCAGCTGCAGTGCATTGGCACGGCTGGATGGAAGATCTGAGCCTTGTTGCCCCCAATGTGCTTCCTCCGTCTCGTTATTGACTGACCTGAACTTGTTCTAGTTGTGTTCTGTACATTTTCTCCCAGGCTTTCACTTAAGTCACATTTTTGTCTAAGACTTAGTCATGCATCAATGGGAGACTAAGTGAAAATTCTACTTAAGTGGAAATTAGGATTCACCCCTCAAACAGTCTCCATATATACTTCCATTCCTTTTTTCAACTGGTACCGGGGTTTCTTCAGACGAGTCTTGTGAGGCCTGTTGGCATCCTAGAGTCTCACCTTTGCACAGATCGGTCATATTAGTGTGTAGCCCAAACGGTTCTGATGCTACAGACCGAAGTAGAGCATAATGGAGAACACCATCTTGTTCGTGAGAGTCTCATAGAGGGGTTGTAATATTTTTGTAGGACAAACCGTTTGACTATTTTGTGAGAAGACTGATTTTCGGGATGTCTCATGGTTCGACAAACACCTCTCTAGCTCTGTCACCTTTCACTGCAGATGCGGAAGTGCGACATAGGCAGATACGGTGGATTGAGACGCATCCAATGCAAAACAAGATATATATTTAGCTTAAACTGATGGATTTTTATGGGGATTTTTTTATTATGCTAATAAGATTTCTGCGGGGGCGCAGACATCAACCTTAGGGTGTTAATGAGTTAACCCTTTAAGCTACAAGTCTAAGCTCCACAGGTGTAAGCTGTAAGCAGATTTCAACCTAAAATGCAGGGCACATGCCCCGATGCATGGTAGACCACACTGATATTGAGGATGTGGTAGAGTGAGGAAAATTGAGGTGTAGTCAGTCGATGGACTATTTGAGGATGTGGGAAGATAGTTCCATTTTAATTTGACAAGCACATTAAAAAGTTAGGCCGTCTCTACACTGACATCAAAAAGTGAAGTAAAAGTCTGATGAAAGGCGGTCAAAGGGAAGTTTGGCTGCAGGCATGCAGATGGAAATAAGGTTCAGATGAGTAGACTAGAGAGAGAGGGGAGGGGATTGCATCAGGATTGCCAAACCATCTGGAATCTGTGGAATCCCAGATCATTTTGCTGTCATTTTTCTTTTCAGAGCACTTTATGAATTTAGAAGGGGTGGAATGTGATTTAAAGGAAATGCGTGCCCTATACCAACCAATGATGTGCTTTCTGTTTTCTCCACTGTTGTATTCTGGTGTGGCGTATCTACTTTGGCCTTTGATCTGGTGAACGCTGCCCTTGCTTACCCTTGGGGAGTTAGCTTTTGAAATACGTGATTCCTAGAAAATAGAGCACAGAGAAGAGAAAACCCACCAGCTTTATCGCCCTCTTTCCCTCACGCATTTGAAGAATTCTCCTCAGAAGGGTTTCACCACCAAACTGATTACTTGGGTTAATTTTTAAAGCATGACTTCAGTCCCAGTATGCCACCCGACCCCCATGGAGGTCATTAATGCGGCTGAGAAGACTTTCTATGGCGTTTTGGATTTTGCTTCTTGCCCTAAACCATTTTACATAATCATTTTAGTGGAGTAACCAACTTAGTTAGAAAATAATAGTAAAGAATCACAAAAAGTAGATGTGTAATTGTCTCAGATTAATAATTTAGTTTTTGTTAAAATCTTTGTCTTTGTTCCAGCACTGTATGCTGTTGGGAGGGATGAAGAGCACAGACATTCCCCTGGAGGGGCACCTGCTATCACCCATTCAGAGAATCTGCAAGTACCCCCTTTTACTGAAGGTAAGGTCCTGCTGACCCCAAGGAGAATGAAACTCAGTCCTGCCTCCAAGTCAGAGGGTCAGTGTACTTTATGGCCAATTCATTTTTCCTATTAGAAGACAAGATTTTAAAAAAGGGCCATTCTTTGATTACTTGATTTGAATCTGAAATCAAACAACACAAACAGTTTAGTTTTTTTAGTTTTTATTGTCTAAAGTAAATATTAAATTACGAGAAACGGAATAATGATTTGATTATTCAAAAGTTGTGTTTTAAGGCTAGGCTCTATAACATGCACCGATCACCACAAGCTTCAGTGCCTAGGAGCTTAGACACCATGACCACATGGTCAGTCAGCCACGGTCCTGTGAAATTCGCACATCATGACCATTGATCTATACAGGGGTCATGACCCATGGAAAACAAATTTTAGTTTCGCCTATGTCAGGATCTGGCCATTTGTGATGAGCCTATAAGCTACATTAATAAGGTATGGTATGAAAAAAAAAAAGCTCTGTCCACGGACCTATAGCATATGACACGTCCTTTGAAACTCTCCGATGCGCAACTGTTCGGTTTCCCAAAGACCAGGGCCGGTTTCCCAAAATCATCTTGGTTCATCGTTAGAACCTATGGTTCTAATGATGAACTTAGCTTTAAGATGCTTTTGGCAAACTGGGCCCTGGGCCTCGTTTCCCAAAGCCTTCGTATAGCGTTAAAATCATCGTTGGAACCATCTTACAATGTGTCTTTAGTAGCCAAGGTGTTTCCCAGCGCCTTTGTTAGTAACGTGACTCTTGAAATCCTTGCACATCTATGAGTGATCCAGACCACTCATAGAGCAGCCAAAGTGCAAGGTTAGGCTTATTTTCTGCCTTACCACACAATATATAATTCTAAAACAATTATGTGAATGGGCATGATCATACGATGATAAATGTTTCATTTGGGTAATGTATAGGATCTAATGTAATATTTGAAATATGTATTTGTAACATTTTGTCAAGATTAGTTTTATCCCAAGCTGCATCTTATCCGGTACCAATTGGAAACACCTGGAACACTATACATTGGGGGAAAAAAGTATTTAGTCAGCCACCAATTGTGCAAGTTCTCCCACTTAAAAAGATGAGAGAGGCCTGCAATTTTCATCATAGGTACACGTCAACTATGACAGACAAATTGAGAAAAAAAACCCCCCAGAAAATCACATTGTAGGATTTTTAATGAATTTATTTGCAAATTATGGTGGAAAATAAGTATTTGGTCAATAACAAAAGTTTTTCAATACTTTGTTATATACCCTTTGTTGGCAATGACACAGGTCAAACGTTTTCTGTAAGTCTTCACAAGGTTTTCATACACTGTTGCTGGTATTTTGGCCCATTCCTCCATGCAGATCTCCTCTAGAGCAGTGATGTTTTGGGGCTGTCGCTGGGCAACACGGACTTTCAACTCCCTCCAAAGATTTTCTATGGGGTTGAGATCTGGAGACTGGCTAGGCCACTCCAGGACCTTGAAATGCTTCTTACGAAGCCACTCCTTCGTTGCCCGGGTGGTGTGTTTGGGATCATTGTCATGCTGAAAGACCCAGCCACGTTTCATCTTCAATGCCCTTGCTGATGGAAGGAGGTTTTCACTCAAAATCTCACGATACATGGCCCCATTCATTCTTTCCTTTACACGGATCAGTCGTCCTGGTCCCTTTGCAGAAAAACAGCCCCAAAGCATGATGTTTCCACCCCCATGCTTCACAGTAGGTATGGTGTTCTTTGGATGCAACTCAGCATTCTTTGTCCTCCAAACACGACGAGTTGAGTTTTTACCAAAAAGTTATATTTTGATTTCATCTGACCATATGACATTCTCCCAATCCTCTTCTGGATCATCCAAATGCACTCTAGCAAACTTCAGACGGGCCTGGACATGTACTGGCTTAAGCAGGGGGACACGTCTTGCACTGCAGGATTTGAGTCCCTGGCGGCGTAGTGTGTTACTGATGGTAGGCTTTGTTACTTTGGTCCCAGCTCTCTGCAGGTCATTCACTAGGTCCCCCCGTGTGGTACTGGGATTTTTGCTCACCGTTCTTGTGATCATTTTGACCCCACGGGGTGAGATCTTGCATGGAGCCCCAGATCGAGGGAGATTATCAGTGGTCTTGTATGTCTTCCATTTCCTAATAATTGCTCCCACAGTTGATTTCTTCAAACCAAGCTGCTTACCTATTGCAGATTCAGTCTTCCCAGCCTGGTGAAGGTCTACAATTTTGTTTCTGGTGTCCTTTGACAGCTCTTTGGTCTTGGCCATAGTGGAGTTTGGAGTGTGACTGTTTGAGGTTGTGGACAGGTGTCTTTTATACTGATAACAAGTTCAAACAGGTGCCATTAATACAGGTAACGAGTGGAGGAAAGAGGAGCCTCTTAAAGAAGAAGTTACAGGTCTGTGAGAGCCAGAAATCGTGCTTGTTTGTAGGTGACCAAATACTTATTTTCCACCATAATTTGCAAATAAATTCATAAAAAATCCTACAATGTGATTTTCTGGATTTTCTTTCCTCAATTTGTCTGTCATAGTTGACGTGTACCTATGATGAAAATTACAGACCTCTCTCATTTTTTTAAGTGGGAGAACTTGCACAATTGGTGGCTGACTAAAAACTTTTTTTCCCCACTGTACATGGACGATACATGGAGATGATATACGACAACTCTTAGAAATAATCTAAGAAGGTGTCCATGTATGCCGATGACTCAAGTTTTATATTAAGTCCGCAAGCTAGATCCCTGCAATGTCTAATTCAAGATCTAAGTAACTTTTCTGGCCTCTCAGGTCTAAAACCTAATTATGATAAGTGTACCATATTACGTATTGGATCTTTAAAAGAAACAACTTTTACATTACCCTGCAGTTTACCTATAAAAAGTAGACATGCTTGGTATTCATATCACAAAATATATAAATAAACTCTCCACAATGAATTTCAATAGAAAACTAGTAAAAATAGACAAGATCCTGCAACAGGTAAATACCTGTCTATTAATGGAAAAATTACACTGATTAACTCCTTAGTCATATCTCAGTTTACTCACTTACTTATGGCGCTGCCTACTCTTGATGATTCGTTTTTTAAATAATCTGAGCAAAATTGTTTTTGCTTTATCTGGGAAGCTAAACCAGACAAAATAAAGCATGTCTATCTATGTAATGAATATGAACTTAGTGGGTTGTGATTATTAAATATAAAAGCACACAGTTTTACTTGAACCCAAAATGGTTCTCAAGTAGATTACTAAGAAAAGGTCATCCACTGTTTAAAAATTGCCTTTTTGCCTTTGTGCCGATTGCCATGTCTAATTTTTGATTAATTGAAAATTAAACCTTCTTCAAAGTATCTCTCTTTTTCAAACAAGCATTGCAGAGCTGGTTACAATTTCAATTTCATCCCCAAGAAAAGAGAACAAATATGATGGTTGAACTCAATTATACTCGTTGGTAAAATACCAGTATTTATGGACAATATGTTTGATAAGTGTATTTTGTTTTTAAATTATATTGTAATTTGGAATGGTAGAGTTATGTCTTTCATGGAGTTATCGCAATTGTATGGAAAGGTCTGGTCAATCCAAGATTACAACCAATTGATTACAGCATTACCCCAAAAATGGAGGAGGCGGGGCAGCGGGAGGAGGTAGGGAACTGGTCTGTCTGCCCAATATATAGTATAGTCCACCAAGTATCCAAACTGGTGGAGGAACAAAAATTGCATAAATAGGAAAGTATACCAGTTTAATTTGAGGACCAGGATGTTGACTGCTGTGCCATATAGATTGCAAAATAGCTGGGAAGAGATTTGTGATGTACCGATTCCATGGCACAGGGTGTAAGAGTTGATATATAAACCGACGCAAGGTTAAAGACTTCGTGCTTTTCAGCTAAAATTATTGTGCAGAATGCCACCAACAACATTTTGAATATTTGGGGAATACAATCATCGTAGCTCTGCAGATTTTGCTGTGAGGATACAGAATCAATAGACCATTTGTTCTGGTATTGCCCTCAGGTAGCCTGTTTCTGGTCTCAGATTCAGGAATGGCTAAAAAAACATAACATAAATCTAAAATTGACCCTAGAAATAGCATTGTTGGGAGATCTGGAGAGACCTGGTCAGTCAATTACTAGTATACTAATACTCTTAGTAAAAGTATTTATCTTCAACTCTCTATGTGGATTCTATTTGATTAGATAAAAATGGTATGTTAAACATCACAGCATAGTTGAAAGATATATGGCGAGAAAAATTCTGAAGGGGGGGGGCTGGAGAGCTATCGTGGAAACAGTGGTGGATCTTGGATGGTTGGTGGCCTGGCAGTTGGGAGCTTGGGCCGTTGGCCGATAGGTCGCTGATTCGGGTCCCCGATTTGACTTGGTGGGAGATCTGTCGACGTGCCCTTAGGCTGGGCGCTTGACCCTGGTTGTTCCTGTGGGTCGCTCTGGATGGGTGTCTGCTAGATGACTGAATGTAATGTAAATGTTGAGCGGCTTCACTGCAGGTAGATTGTATGTTTTATTTTCACACAAAAGAAAATATCCCAAAAAACCAGCCACTCCTAATTAGGATCTCCATTTTCCACCCCACGTCCAACTTCTCCCTTTTCCAACTTCTACATTCAACCTCCACACTCCATCCTCCAACATTTCCCCAAAACGCTGTCGTGACTTCATCCCATAATCTTACCTGACCTTTGCACCCCCACATCCACCATCGACCCTTATTGATGAGATGATTCCTAATAATGAGCATGGTGCTTATCATCCAACGCACCAGGGCTGTTCTCTGAAACATTTTCAATGACTGTTTATGTACTACAGTACTACTGAAGACATTCTGACTCTTTGGCTTTATCCCCTACTCTCTCTCCCCTCACTAGGAGCTGCTGAAGCGGACGCCCAAGAAGCACGTGGACTACCCTGCGGTGGAGGAGGCCCTGCAGGCCATGAAGGCAGTGTGCTCCAACATCAATGAGACCAAGAGGCAGATGGAGAAACTGGAGGCCCTGGAGCAGCTGCAGTCGCACATCGAGGGCTGGGAGGTGAGGGATTCTATTCTATTTTAGACCATGGGGCTAGGATGCACCCTATAGGTCACCATTGATGGAGGGAGAGGAGAGAGGTAGAGCGGAGGGGGATGGGAGTGAGGGCAGAGGAGTGCTCGAAGGTGAGAAAAGGGGGGGGGGGAGTGTACGATAAAGTTGAGGGGAGATAGAAGGGTGAGAGGGACATGAAGGCAGAAGGAGGGGTGTGCTAGAAAGGTGAGAGAAAGGGGGGGGAATTAGAAGGAGGAGAGAGAGAGGGGTGGGAGGTGAGGAGAAAGATTGAGAGGTGTGAGATAAAGATGGATGAGAGTCAGATGAAGATGGATGAGAGTCAGATGAAGATGGATGAGAGAGAGAAAAGGGCAAGGTTCTCCTTTATATAGAAATGGGACATGTGACCGGAAAGGGATGGAAAAGGGAAGCTCTGAGTTTGGAGATTTGTCAATGGATTGCCCCACTCTCTCTCTAGCTCTCTCTCTATCTCTATCTCTCACACACACATTATGTACACACATACTGTACACACACACACACTGTCCACCTCCTTGACCCCATCTCCACAGCTGTGGCGAAAAAACTTTGGCCAGTTTTCGAGAGTCCACTGAACCCTGAGCACATTTCATTTTCTGTGACGGTAAAACACTCCTCCAGCCTCCCAAATCCAAATCACCAGCGTGCACAGGGCATGGACAGGGCTTGGGAGCGGAGCTGGGTGCCCAGTGCGTTTTTCACACCTCCCTCACCCTCCACAACAGAGCCCTTGTCTCCTGACTCCCCTCGGGCCCCCGAGAGGACAATCCACCCTCTCAGGAGCCAAGGGAAGGCCAATGGGGCACCCTGCCCAATATCACGATGTCATTGCGGTCCCTTCCACAGATCAATGTGTTGTGTTGATATAGGAATGTGATCGTCGTTTTTTTCTCTCCAATATCTCTAATTCAATTCTACCCACTGACGTGGGGGCAGTTGGACATCTGTGTTTGGAATTGGTTCTCTCATATCACTTTGCATTGACCCCTAGAAGTCAAAACATGTCTTAGGATGAACGAATAATGGGACATAGAGCCTCCGTCTACTCTCTTCCGTATCACAGTCCATCCTCATGAAAGGCACTGCCCTCCCTTGCTCCCTTTAAGCACTCCATCTTTAGCCCATTAGTCCTACTTTCTCCACTCCTCCACGCTCCAGTTTAATTACCTCTCCACTCCTAATGGGAATGTAGGAGTGCAGAATCAAGGCCCAGGCGCATTACCGTTGCACTGATAGACAGACAGCTCCCTCCCGCCCTCCTTCCCCCAATCCTCCATCCCTCCATCCCCCACTTGCCTTTCTGCACAGTTAAACATGGAATTGGATTGATCGGGCGAAACGTTATCTGTCTGCTAGGCCGGTTGGAATCCATCTGACCTGAAATGGCACCCTTTTCTCTTTATAGTGCACTATTCCCTATATCTGGGGTACTCAAGTACTATTTGAGAAGGTCTGGTCACACAAATTTCCTAGGTGGCAAAGGTCCAGATGGATAATGTAATTTATCAACGTAGTAACAAACCCCCACCTCACAACCCATGTGACCCCAAACTGTTCACACACCTCTTTTTGGTTGAGAGAACATTTTGCAGTTTTAAACCTAAATCCCACAATTCTACACATTTTGCATGGGGCAGAGATATAATTATTTTCTGTTTTAAAGCTAATTTCCTGCAGTTCTACGCATTCTTCCATGTCTTATGTGTGTTTATATGATACCAGGGGTCAAAGCCCGACAAAGGAAAAGAAAGTGGGGCCTGCGGTCTGTATTGACCCTGTTCTGGGTCCAGATCCGGTCCGCCAGTTGAGTATGGGGGCCCTATATAGTGCACTACTTTCGACCAGGGCCCTTAGGGTGCCATTTCGGACGTACCCCCTTACATTATTAACGTCACAGCTAAAGTCACATAGGTCAACCTTTTGAAAATCCCTTTAGCTTTCTTGTTTACATTTTGTGGTAGTGTATAACCCTAAAAATACTGCCTTAAATATGTCACATCTAATGACTAAATAGTGATTAATTGAGCTAAAGTTCAACCACGTTGTCAAAAAGGTTAATTGGCCACACACTGAGTCATATTAATTTGGTTTGACATGACTCCTTGTTGGTCCGTTTTCAGCTGTTCGACTTCGACATTGAAAGGCCACCAAGCTCTTGTTCCCTGTGAGAAAGTGAGACTGTGGTTTATGTTTTCCATAAGAAGCAACGCAAGCAGAACAGTGTTTTTTGCACTTAACCTTTTCACAAGTACCAACAAATGTGTGGGATCATTCTACAGTGGTCCCTGCAGCGTACGCTCAATCCGGTGTGATTAGAACGCTTATTTAGAATGTTGAGTTTCGAGTAACGCAACAGTCAGCATTTGAGCTAGCCACACTGTTTTTTTTCACAGAAACATTTGGCGAAAACACAGTCCTTACAAAGTTATGTCCTGAATGTGACCAGTTGATTTTTGTAGCGACAGCATACACAATCATCCAAACCGGAAAATGTAGGCTACATTAGTCCTAGCGCTAACTGATGAAAGATTGACGTAACACAAGCCGTCATATTTAGAGAACTCTCGGCTGACAGAAACCACAATATAAATTAGCTAATAGCAATTACTATTTATAATTCATCACATCACGGGTGAGCTCACCATTGATCGAAATAATTCAGTAAAATACTTTCTAGAAAACGAAAATAATCAGACGATGGGTAGTTTGTGCGCGCCGCCGTGTTTGTTTTTCTTGTCAACCAAAGATAATAAGAGGATGAGTTTGGTCTGTTTGCAGTGTGCATGTTGAAGGGGGTGTGTCATCTACGATCATTCACGTCCCTTCATTCACTTCCGGAAGTTTACTTGAAAGATGAGTGAACCATTCCTTCACCTCATTATAACATCTCTGGTCAGACAGACGTTTATGTGACAGCCAGAATGCATTGCATAATGTCAACAAACATGGCGCCACACATAGCTGGCAAATAGCTTAGCATTAGCTCATTATAATCAGTACAACCTTCAAAAAAGTATTTTACACACATCATAGGTGTCCATTACAATCAATGCAATAATCGGAATGCATTATTTGTCACCAGTACTTGAAGACATGTGAATAAAACTGTAAATACATTATGCTCCATATATACATACACTACCGTTCAAAAGTTTGGGGTCACTTAGAAATGTCCTTGTTTTTGTCCTTGTTTTTTGTCCATTAAAATAACATAAAATTGATCAGAAATACAGTGTAGACATTGTTAATTGTGTAAATGGCTATTGTAGCTGGAAACGGCTGATTTTTAATGGAATATCTACATAGGCGTACAGAGGCCCATTATCAGCAACCATCAGTCCTGTGTTCCAATGGCACGTTGTGTTTGCTAATCCAAGTTTATCATTTTAAAAGGCTAATTGATCATTAGAAAACCCTTTTGCAATTATGTTAGCACAGCTGAAAACTGTTGTGCTGATTTAAAGAAGCAATAAAACTGGCCTTCTTGAGACTAGTTTAGCAATTGTGGGTTCGATTACAGGCTCAAAATGGCCAGAAACAAAGAACTTTCTTCTGAAACTCGTCAGTCTATTCTTGTTCTGAGAAATGAAGGCTATTCCATGCGGGAAATTGCCAAGAAACTGAAGATCTCGTACAACGCTGTGTACTACTCCCTTCACAGAACAGCACAAACTGGCTAAAAACCAGAATAGAAAGAGGAGTGGGAGGCCCCGGTGCACAACTGAGCAAGAGGACAAATACATTAGAGTGTCTAGTTTTGAGAAACAGACGCCTCACAGGTCCTCAACTGGCAGCTTCATGAAATAGTACCCGCAAAACACCAGTCTCAACGTCAACAGTGAAGAGGCGACTCTGGGATGCTGACCTTCTAGGCAGAGTTGCAAAGAAAAAGCCATATCTCAGACTGGCCAATAAAAGATTAAGATGGGCAAAAGAACACATACATTGAACAAAGGAAGATTGGAAAAAAGTGTTATGGACAGACAAATCCAAGTTTGAGGTGTTCGGATCACAAAGAAGAACATTTGTGAGACGCAGACCAAATGAAAAGATGCTGGAGGAGTTCTTGATGCCATCTGTCAAGCATGGTGGAGGTAATGTGATGGTCTGGGGGTGCTTTGGGGGAGATTTGTGCAGGGTAAAAGGGATCTTGAAGAAGGAAGGCTATCACTCCATTTTGCAACGCCATGCCATACCCTGTGGACAGCGCTTGATTGGAGCCAATTTCCACCTACAACAGGACAATGACCCAAAGCAAAGCTCCAAACTATGCAATAACTATTTAGGAAAGAAGCAGTCAGCTGGTATTCTGTCTATAATGGAGTGGCCAGCACAGTCACCGGATCTCAACCCTATTGAGCTGTTGTGGGAGCAGCTTGACCATATGGTACATAAGAAGTGCCCATCAAGCCAATCCAACTTGTGGGAGGTGCTTCAGGAAGCATGGGGTGAAATCTCTTCAGATTACCTCAACCAATTTGCAACTAGAATGCCAAAGGCCTGCAAGGCTTTAATTGCTGCAAATGGAGGATTCTTTGATGAAAGCAAAGGTTGAAGGACACATTTATTATTTCTATTAAAAATCATTATTTCTAACCTTGTTAATGACCACATTTCCTATGCATTTTGCTGTATTTCCTATTCAAATTCATTTCATGTATGTTTTCATGGAAAACAAGGACATTTCTAAGTGACCCCAAACTTTTGAACGGTAGTGTACATACATACATACATGCATGCATGCATGCATACATGAGTGTGCAAAGCTGTCATCAAGGCAAAAGGTGGCTATTTGAAGAATCTCAAATATAAAATAGATTTTGATTTGTTTAACACTTTTTTGGTTACTAAGTTATTCCATATGTGTTATTTCATAGTTTTGATGTCTTCACTATTATTCTACAATGTAGAAAATAGTAAAAATAAAGAAAAACCCTTGACCGGTAGTGTACATACTGTATGCTACAGTAGAAACAACAACATGATATACAACAAATAAGGCACTTACTTATGGAATGTATTCATGTCCAAAGTTATTATTTGTAAGGAAAACAACAACTAAGGCAATGCGAGCGTTTGTTCACGACTGTGCAAATGTCTGCATACTTGATCTGCGGAAACACTGGGGAAGTGCTTGGGCTCTCCTCGAAGAGAGAAGTTTGGCCGGCTCAGTAAAGCCTCAAACATAAATTGTCCACAACACTGAAATGGGCTACTTCTATGTGAATTAATGAGGAGGCGGAACACACCTCAATTCAAACTGCTGTTAGAAAATAATACTTAGCCTGTAGATAATTAGCAGGCAGCGGGTGTTAATAGTCCTGTTGCGTAACAATCACATTTTGGAACAGTGAGTGCATTCTGACATCACGTGCATAAAACAACTCACGCTGGGTGAGACCGTTAGAGATATTTGGAACTCAAGTGTGAAAAGGTTAAAGGCTGGTTTCTGGTTGCACAGCTGACTTTTGTCTTATGTTAAGGGTAATTTAAAATGTTCAGGGAAGGACTTGATTGTGTTGTGTACTCTATTGATATGTTCTGTAACATATCTGTAGCTCAATTGGTAGAGCATGGCGCTTGTAACGCCAGGGTAGTGGGTTCGATCCCCGGGACCACCCATACGTAAAAATGTATGCACACATGACTGTAAGTCGCTTTGGATAAAAGCGTCTGCTAAATGGCATATTATTATTATTATTATTAACAGTAGGAGTGAATAAGGGTGTCGGCTGTTGTTCATTCCATCCTATTGGCACAATGAAATGGAAACAAATAGTTTGAACGAATCCAATGTCATCTGATGTATGAATTTTCACAGCTGCCTTTTGTATTGTTTGATTGGGGTCTTGCACTCCTATGGTAAATCAATTCTGTGTGAAGGGTGAAAGAGAATTGGTAATCATTTTTGAAATCATTATTGTACTTGCGTACACACTCACACAATAAACAGCTGCTACTGTTTATTATCTATCCTGTTGCCTAGTCACTTTACCCCTACCTATGTGTACATATATACCTCAATTACTTCGTACCACTGCACATCGACTCGGTACAGGTACCCCGTGTATATAGCCAAGTTATCGTTACTCGTTGTGTATTTATTCCTTGTGTTATAATTTTTTTATGTTCCGCTGCATTGTTGGGAAGGGCACATAAGTAAGAATTTAACTTCTAGTCTACACCTGTTTTTTACGATGCATGTGACAAATACAATTTGATTTGATTTGAGAGATGATGACAGGCACCAGTGATTTAATTGCCACCCTCTCTTGACTGTCCTGACGGGCCACCCCCAGGGCACCAATCTGACTGACATCTGTACCGAGCTGCTTCTCCATGGCAACCTGCTCAAGATCTCCGCCGGCAACATCCAGGAGAGAGTCTTCTTCCTGTTTGACAACCTCCTGGTCTACTGCAAGAGGAAGTCCAGGTGAGATTGGGTAGGATTGGAAGGAGGGAGGAAGTCATGCACCTCAGGAAAGTGGCAGGAATGTGTTTTCATTCATTGACGAGAAGTCACCATAGAAAGAAGCCATACGGGGAAAAACAGAGTAAATCGCCAAATCCTGTTTGTGTAGTGTGTACCAAGCTCATTTTATATGCAAACAAAACAAGCCAACCTAACGCGTGCGTGCGTACTTACGCCTGTGTGTGCTTGAGCACTGTAAAGTTGTTTTTTCAAAGTTGCCAACAATAAACTGCTGGCACCCGCCCACCCGACTAGAATCACTACTCTCGACGGGTCTGACCTAGAGTATGTGGACAACTACAAATACCTAGGTGTCTGGTTAGACTGTAAACTCTCCTTCCAGACTCACATTAAGCATCTCCAATCCAAAGTTAAATCTAGAATCGGCTTCCTATTTCGCAACAAAGCCTTCTTCACTCATGCTGCCATACATGCCCTCGTAAAACTGACTATCCTACCGATCCTTGACTTCGGCGATGTCATTTACAAAATAGCCTCCAACACTCTACTCAGCAAATTGGATGTAGTCTATCACAGTGCCATCCGTTTTGTCACCAAAGCCCCATATACTACCCACCACTGTGACCTGTACGCTCTTGTTGGCTGGATCTCACTACATATTTGTCGCCAAACCCACTGGCTCCAGGCCATCTATAAATCACTGCTAGGCAAATCCCCGCCTTATTTTAGCTCATTGGTCACCATAGCAACACCCACCCGTAGTATGCGCTCCAGCAGGTATATCTCACTGGTCATCCCCAAACCCAACACCTCCTTTGGCCGCCATTCCTTCCAGTTCTCTGCTGCCAATGACTGGAACGAATTGCAAAAATCTCTGAAGCTGGAGACTCTTATCTCCCTCACTAACTTTAAGCATCAGTTGTCAGAGCACCTTACCGATCACTGCACCTGTACACAGCCCATCTGAAATTAGCCCACCCAACTACCTCATCCCCATATTGTTATTTATTTTGCTCATTTGCACCCCAGTATCTCTATTTGCACATCATCTCTTGCACATCTATCATTCCAGTGTTAATACTAATTGTAAATATTTTGCACTATGGCCTATTTATTGCCTTACCTCCATAACTTGCTACATTTGCACACACTGTACATATATTTTCTGTTGTATTTTTGACTTTATGTTTTGTTTTACCCCATATGTAACTCTGTGTTGTTGTTTTTATCGCACTGCTTTGCTTTATCTTGGCCAGGTCGCAGTTGTAAATGAGAACTTGTTCTCAACTGGCTTACCTGGTTAAATAAAAAAATAAAACGTTCTGAGCAGGAATTTCACATTTTCACCATTTTATGTTCAATTTCGTAGGGTTACTGGGAAGAAATCCACAAAGAGGACCAAGTCCTTCAACGGCCCCCTGTACATGTTCAGAGGAAGAATCAACACAGAGGTGATGGAGGTGGAAAACGTTGAGGATGGAACAGGTTCGTGCCAGCCCCACCAGTCTTCAGTTCATATAGGAGCATCCACCCATCCCTCTATCCACACTCTTTTCATTCATTCATTCATTCATTCATTCATTCATTCATTCATTCATTCATTCATTCATTCATTCATTCAGTCATTCATTCATTCATTCATTCATTCATTCAGTCATTCATTCATCCATTCATCCATTTTCTTTCTATGTATTCTTTCTTTGCTACGGTGTTAATTAGGCTTTATACCTGTTTGTTTCATGTGAATTCTTTACCCTCCCCAAGACAATATTTTAGATTAGCTGGTAGAGTAGATTACACAAAGCTAATGAGTGTTTACAGTTTGGGTGAGGCGATAAAATCTTGCATAGGTTTTTCACATTTGAACTGCTTACAAACGGTCAGGTGATTTTATATGAATCTGAGGTCTGCACATTGGTTCAGAGCGGATGCACCAACCTGCATTTCAAACCTTTGAACTATTGGGATGCCTGCTGTTGCAAGAACTGGCACTTACCAACTACAACACTGTTTTGTTCGTGTGGTTTATTGCACACCAGCATGTTATTTTCAGGTCTTGGGTTCAGATATTAGTTAAAATCATTCAAATACTTTAGTTGTGCTTAATCGAGCTTGCCTGGGGCAATAGAAATGATGAAGTAGGCCCTAAAATGCTAACCCCACCGATCTTGCACTCCAGACAGGCTCAAGGAAATGTTCAAAGTATTTGAAAGATTTCAAGGACTATTTGAACCCAGGTCTGGTTGTTTTCTGTGAGGGGGTTATAGTTGTAGCCCTAGCTGCAGGGGTATGAATGCACTTCTTCTTTAATCATACCCATTTTCACTCACCACACTGGCAAGATGAAGCATGGGTTCACATGCCTCTTCTCTGTGCCCCACGGGCTGTTTGCTGCCTGTCGCTTCGTGCTTTCAGAGGAAACCACAAAGAAAAACATGTTCTCTCTCCGCATGTTTCTCAGAGAGACCATATAACCCGATAGTGAGACCAAGGTCATGTGCCATTTTTACACTGCCAGCTTAGCTTGTGTCTGTCTAAGGTTGATCATGTGTTGATTTGTAGCATTGTAGAAGCCCAGCGAATCACCCTTGAAATAGCTGCACTTTTACACCATTCCATTGACAGTTTTAGAGTATTAAGGACAATACCGAGTGAAGATGTTTGAACAAGATTTGTGGTTTGTTCTTCAACTAAATATTACAACATTGACATGCACTGACAACCGCAGCTAGACAACATGTAAAAAAACTCATCCATATGTAAACAAAGCGAAGGCCAGTTCCTCGTTCGCTCAAGGAGACCTTTTTAGCGTGAGTGTGTATACACGGTCACACCTCTTTCATTGGATGAATGCAATAACATCATCCTCCTACATCTACTATTGTTTGATACCATTCCCCATGCACACCAAAACATGATTAGCTCTCCCTATGCCTCCCTCCCTCCAGGCCATGGGGTTTCACATCTTTTTATGTGACCTTTTAACATTACACTAATGCACCTCCATTAGCCCAGCTCATTCATTATGCATTACAGTCACCTGGAGCCAAATAGCTGATAAGATTGAGAGAGAGAGAGAGAGAGAGAGACTTTCTGTCGAGTCAGCAGAAAGATGTATTTTACTGCTCTGTTTGGTTGTTTTTTTTATTAGCAGTACTTACAGAATGATGGATATTTCAACTCCAAGGTGTTTCAAATATAAGTGACGCTTGAGAGTGGTGTGGCCAGGCAGGCTGTATTACCCTCCAAGTTTGTTACAACTGAGTTCAGTAACACTGCATGTTTTATCGGCAAGTAAAAAAGGTAGTACAGTGTTGATATCAATGTCTATCAACAGAATTGCGGTAAAACATTTTAATAAAGGTTATTTCTAGAAAAGGACTCACGTGGGGGGTGTACTGTACCATGGTCCCTTACTTGTTTTGTTCCTCTTTTCTCAGCTGACTACCACAGCAACAACTACACGGTGACCAATGGCTGGAAGATCCACAACACGGCCAAGAACAAGTGGTTCGTCTGCATGGCCAAGAACGCAGAGGACAAGCAGAAGTGGCTCGACGCCATTTTGAGGGAACGAGAGCAGAGAGAGAGTGAGTAGAATGAAAAGAGGGATGTCACTCACACTCCTTCCCTCCCACCTCCATGGAGTGTGTGAAAGAATGCTATCATGTTTTCTGGTTGTACTGGCTGACCACCTAGACTGATACAGTATCTCAGCAATGCTATGCTATGGGTTGCTAACACAATAAGGGTTCAGATAAACAAATGGTTAGCGTTGCAAGAGGGAACAAAATAATTCCTTCTGTCTGTTGTGAGAGCTCCAATTGTAGCACGCATGCATGCAAATGAATTGGTACATCACTAGGGCTGTTGTGGTATGCTTATGGTATGTGGATTATGATACAGTATGTCTTACTACCCAGAGTCTCTCTAGCTAGCTTTTGTTTCATAAATAAAGTCTTAAGATCGTGACATGATGACCTAGAACTGTGTTGCCAAATATATGCAGAAGAACATGACCTGGAGTTAAACATTCAAAGGAAAGAGCCAGTCGCTTCATACGTTGCGAGACCCATGTTTGCTAATCAACACCCCTGAGAGAGAGCACTTTATCGAGCAGTTAATTCACAAACAAACCCAAGATGCGCAAAAAACAGACTATTCAATCCCAGCCAGAGCCCAAAAAAGAGCAATAGCAGCAGCTTGGTCAGAAACAGTAACGCACCGAGAAAGTATTGCAACACAGTTCCCATCACGGGTGTTGTCTAGACGTCTATACCGTGGTATGAAAATGAGACTCGTAACACATTTTGGATGCCATTTTTCGAACTGGTGTGGAGTGATTGCAGACTTTTGATATGAATTGGCAGCTTGGGCGCAGGTTTCCCGAACTGTGTAATTAATAGTGTGTTCAAATTGAGTCACACCCAAAACATCCAGTCACTCGAATAAAGTTCTTATCACTTTGTCCTCTCTAAAAAGAATGGCACTAAAACACCACTTCATCTGGTTAAAACATATGCTATTTGCTATAGTGTTTGACTAAAAACATGTATTTTGAGGAAGATGGGTTATTTGTTGTTGTTAAGTGTCATTGTAAGCACACTTACTCCTCTTGTTTAATGACTTTCCCTAAACATTTTAGCTTACTTCCATCTTTTGACTTCAAAATGTAAAAGTGTCTTCTTGTGGACTAAGGACACCTGTTCAGCACTGGCCACCTGTCTTTATGTTTGTGCGCATTGGGGGGGGGGGGGGTGCCAATAAAGCTTTAAAGGCTTTTACAGGATTCTGTGGCTGTAGGCATGCCCGGTGACACCTGATAGCATTGGAGGCAGAAATCACAACAGCTTACCCCCAAGCTGTACGTGTATGGCAATGACTCAACTTAAACAGCCGTGGGTTTTGAACACATAACCACACCTGGTTCTAGCTGTGTACAACAAAGCTTGAATATTTCAAATGTAGCAAATGAGCCTTCCGCATGGACTTGAGTGAGCGGTCACAGCAGAAGTCATGGTATCAGCACTTGATCCTGTGGCTAAAGTCGAGAAGTGGAACTTTCCAGAGTACAAAGGGCCATGCTGGGTATTGGGTTACGTTAGGCGGAAATTGACCTGAGGCTAATAAATGCCAGATCAGTCACAGTGCAGCCAACCCTACCCCCCAACCTTAACCCCAACCCCCCTCCCTGAACCCCCGGCCTAGCCCACATCTCGAAGGTTTGACCATGGCCATTGCATCCCTTTCATCCCTGTTTCACTATTGATACCTGACCCATTGTTGCATTCCAATTTCCCCCAGCACACCTCTTTAAAATGGCACTGACTTCAGTTGGACGTTTTGGTTGTGGCCCCTTTAAATACTCCCAAGACAGAGCCGTTGTTTTTGCCCTGCCAGCTGGATGGGTCTGGGATCATCTTATCAGAGCTTTTGTGGTGGTTGAGGGAAAATTAGTGGGCTAGCATGTTAGCCGGTTAGCTTGTGCCTGTGAGGGTGGGAAGAGGTGGCCTCTCGTCAGGCTCTGACAGCTGGGGCAGCATCCCAGGGTTGAGGCCCCCTGCACCAAGACCAGAACCCTGTCTGTCCAATGGCACTCTTTGTTTGAGTCCACTCCAGCTACTGTCAAGTGTAATCCAACCACACCTCCGTCAGCGGCACCCAGCTCTGGCACACCCGCAAATTGAGTTGGAATTGTCAGAGTCCCATGGTTTAGCAGGACAGAGAGGCTGACAGTGGAGTTTAGCCAGTCAGAGAGCCTGATGATGGATCTCCAAAGTTCAGAGAGCCCAACGGATAGTTTTATCTACAGTATATGGTTTTGAAGCTCTATGACATGGTCAACCTTCAAAGGGCTCAACATCAACTGTTGTTTTGAATTGTCTCTGCACATTTTTCATAATTTAACATATTTCTCACTCAGTTGTGTTGCAGCTTGCTAAACATAACTGCTGCTCTACACCGAATATATAAAAACTCAGTGGCGTCACAGTACATTAGCAGGCGAGCGTCAATACAGTACATTGTTCTAGACCTGGACAGATTAACATCTGGATTTCCATCCGAAGGAGGTGGCAGATTTGAGCCGCCATGCTCTGTTCTTCTCCTATCCCTGTACCGTGTCGGATACCCCAACGAGGCCCACAGGCAGGGGCATTGCATCTTCTGACAGCCCGGTGACAGCCTCTCCCCCCTGGGGGCTGAAACGCGTAGACGTCAGAGGGCTGACTGGAGGAAATGGTGGTGTCCTTCAGGGTTCGGTGTTGGGCCCTCTTGTTTTTTTTTTGGCAATGTGAGACAAAAGCTGCTGTGACTGCTGCAGCCCCCCCGTGCCAGTCATGGGAATCAGCATGGCTTGTTATGCAGTGAGAGGAGTGATGTAGTCTTTCTCTCATTCACTCTCTCACCACACTGTCTCTGAAAACAAATATCACTGTTGGGTTAGACAACTATTAATAGCAGTTTCTAACACCTTAGGCTTTCGATAATAACAAGTCTCATGAACTTCATATGCAAAATGTTTGGTGTCTGACCCCTTGAGTTTTTCTCTGTTGGTAACAGGTCTGAAGCTGGGGATGGAGCGGGATGCCTACGTAATGATTGCCAAGAAAGGCGAGAAGCTCTACCACATGATGATGACCAAGAGCCGCCACCTGATCAAGGACCGGCGCCGAAAGCTGACTATCGTGCCCAAGTGCTTCATGGGAAAGTGAGTTCTTTCCCACCGAATAGTTCACTGATGAGTGAGGTGTCTGGGAGTTGTTTTCCTCCCTGTGTTGGCAGCCAATCACTTTGTTGTCGGAGGCAACGATTCCCAACGTATACAGAAAGAGCTTCATTAGAGAAGAGACCTTCCCTTTAACTGCAAGAGCATAATTTGGAAGACCCTCCCCTCAAGGTGTCTCTGTGAATTAGCATGAACACACACGCCACAGGAATCATACATTTACCCTGCTTTCACAGTGATATGCACAAGCACGCACACCCAAACACACATACATTGCATGAACACACACATACATATATTTTGGCATTAACCCACACACCCACAGAAATTATACATTTAGCCTGCTTTCGCAGAAATGCTCATGAACACACACACACATACACTTTTGGCATGAACACACACAGGAAGCACACATTTAGCGTGCTTTCTCAGCAATGCTCACTCACACATACACATTCACACAGCGAGCCACTGGACTGAGCAGCGCTCTCCTTTTTTCTTTCCCCCCAGTCTTTCAATGCCATGAATTAACAATGAGGGCTGGTTTGCCTTCAGTAATGCATTTTCCATTATGCCCCACAGCTCCATAACACAGCGAGATTCCTTTCGGGGGAAGGGAAAAAAGGGGCAAAACGGTGTTGATCACTAGGCATTCATTATGGAGTCAGTCAGCATCCAAACCAGGATTTCATTAGTTTGTCAGTTGTCATTATGTCTTATAAGAGTGTGAATTTGAACCCAAAATTCATCTGATACAAAATCCTACACTACAATCAGTGCCCTCCCAATTCCTACTGATAAGAGAACTCATAATGACAACAAATTTTTTTCCAACATCCTATTTGGGCAGTTGGTCGTATTTGGTTCTTCTTTTAGCCTTCCTCTTTCTCAGCCCATTTCCTAATGCAGGTTTCTTTGCTCACATTGGTGCTTGTATTGCATCTTGGGTATGGCAATGCACCAGGACTGTATTCATTGGCACGAAATGGAAGAAAAACCGGCCCAAACAGGGAGGGATTATTCTTATTTTATTGTCCAATAAGAAACGCTTGTTTTAGTTTTGTTACAAAACATTTTTCTATGTTTTGCTATTTTGTGCACTAATGAATACGACCCAGGTCTTGTGTATGCTGGATGTGCAAACTGATGTGGTTTTCACAAGATTAATTCATTTGACAGATTAGTATCTTGCACAATAGAACCAACATTTGCAATATCAAGTCAACATAAGTGCTCTATTTCACAAGCGAGTGACCTACTTGACATTTTTACCTCCAGTCCCTTGTTCAAGATGAAGCAAGCCTCATGTTGACTCTGATACAGTATATCCAATAGCTAACTTAGATGACATCATTGTAGCATGCTGTAGCAAAGGAATGTTTGAAGCTTAGGCTTGCTAGCAGAATGTCCGATACACACACATATGCATGCATGCACGCACACATACACACACACGCACGCACACATACACACACACTGAGATAATCCCTTAACTTTATTGTCCACCCTCTCTCTGCTCATCAGCTTGTTTTGCCACACACATACACACACACACAGCCTCACTGTTCCCATCCTTAGCAGTGATTTACTCCTCTGTGTGACTGCTCCAGCGCCCAAATTAACCAGCGCTATTACGTAACAACCCCCCCCCCCTGTCCTCCACCCCACCAGATCCACGTGAGTCCTGTGTCAATTAGCAGCATGTTGCTTTGAGAGCGCCACACATACACACACACACACGCACACACACTTGCACAGATAGACACAGACTTGTGAGAGGTGCAGTACAGAGACCTGGCTGACAATCACTTCACACACACACACATATCACAGAGCTAAAAGAGCAGCAGCAGTTGGTAGGTTGTGATTTACTCTTTTGATGATGGTAAAATATGCCCATTGTAAATCAGCCGGACAGGCAAGCTCAGGTGTGAGCAGATGGCTCAAGGTGTCTCTGTGATTTAGCATGAACACACACGCTACAGGAATCCCACGTTTACCCTGCTTTCATGGTGATACGCACAAGTACACACACCCAAACACACACTCACACTTTGGCATGAACACACATGCGGGGATCACGCTTTTAGTCTGCATCCGCATCAGGGTAACGCACGCACACAAACATACAAACATTGCATGAACACGTACATGCATACATACATTGCATGAACACACACATACATATATTTTGGCATTAACGCACACACAGAAATTACACATTTATCCTGCTTTGGCATGAATGCTCATGAACACACACACACACACACATTCAAATTTGGCATGAACACACATGCAGAGGAATCATACATTTACCCTGCTTTCTCAGCAATGCTCACTCACACATGCACTCGCTCACATTCACGGTTCGTCGTTCAATGGGAAATTGAGTTTGCTCAGTGGCATGGAACATGGAGAAGAGGGAAATTTAATTTCATCTGCTTCAAATATCTGGTTTGCTCAGTGTCTCGAGGGAGAATACACTGAGGAGAGAAAATGCTGTATTTAAGTATGAGGAGGCATATATATGAATGGTGCCACAAAAGCCATGAATTCAGATTGGCACTTTTTGGAGTGAGTGAAAAAAGAAAGCGAGAAAGAGGGTGTTTAAGGCTGGTGGGAGGGAGGACAACGGGAGCAAGGGAGAAGGGGCAGAGGGATAGAAAGGGGTAGGAGATGTGGAAGAGGGGATAAAGAAGGGAAGGGGGAGAGAGAAGGCACAAGTACCGTACCTTTTGGAGCGCTTACCTGTTACAAAGGGGTTTAAAAGGTGTGTGTGCCATATACAATACAGGTGACTGCATACAGTCTAAATTGAATAGCACTAATATCCAGCATCAGGAGTGTCAGTGCCGGGCTGGAACAAAAGCCTGCACAACCTTTGCCTCACCCAGAACAGTAGTTTCCCCTCTCATTTTGAACTAGCCTTGCCTAAAGCTGTATCTGTATTATATACTGTAAGCTGTACTGTATTATATACCATATTCTATACCAGTGGTTCCCAACAAGGGGTACTAGGACCCCTGGGGGTACTTGGCCTATCCACAGGGGGTACTTGAAAAGACTGAAATGCACATGAGAAGGTACTTAAGGGGTACTCTGGGCAGAGCAAAATCAGTCAGTCTGGACCCCAGGAAGACTAGCTGTCATCATGGCATCAGCAAATGGGGATCCCAATAATGAATAATTAAATAATTTATTGGGATCCCCATTTGCTGATGCCATGATGACAGCTAGTCTTCCTGGGGTCCAGCCTGACTGTATCCCATAATATTGGATCTGTGTGGCTCAGGGTTCGATTCCTGCTGGGGCCACATCACACAAAAAATGTATGGACTCACTTTGGATTAAAGCATCTTCTAAATGGCATTTGGTCTATTGTCTTTTAAACTCTTAGAACATTGTTTTGTATTTTCTTCTGTGCAAATAAATATGGTCTACATTATTATACTAAAGTGTTGTGTCCTTGTCCCCACAGTGAGTTTGTGTCGTGGCTGATAGAGAGTGGAGAGATCAGCAAGCCAGATGAGGGGGTCAACCTGGGTCAAGCTCTGCTGGAGAACGGAATCATCCACCATGGTGAGAGAACCGCCTCTGTCCTTCATACCATTCTGTCATTCTTTCGGGCTTTTCCCACCTCTCACTTTTTTCTCTCTCCCTCTATGGTTCTCTTTTTCTCCCTCGTTCTCTCTCTCTCTCTCTCTCTCTGTCTCTCTCTTGCTCTCTCTCTCATTCTATATATGTTTCTCTCTATTTCTCCCAATCTTTTTTCTCTTCCTTCTCTCTTTCCATATGCCTTATTATTTGCACTTCATGGGTGTATTTGTTAGCGTTATATTTTCAGTCTCACACTTTCCACGTTCTCTTTCACTGTCTTATATTATTCACACTCTGTTTTACTCATTTCTGTTATTCTCCTCAGTGTTTACTCCTTTCTTACTGTCTCTATCCAATGAGAAAAAATAAGATTCATTTTTCATAAATAGTTACAAAACCATTTCCCAAGGTTTCCACCAGCAGACTTAGTAACTTAGTCACAGGTTTGCAGGTTTACCGATCTAAATTATGCATTGAAAACGGAACGCACAGACACACACACTTAAATCATGTATTTGGCGCTGACAGTGAATCACTTCCTGCCTGCCTGCGTCTAACGCAATAACAGATCTGAGCTATGAATATACCTATTTTGGTCATTGGTAGCTCAATTTGTGTGTGTCGAGTCTCAGCATCTCATACACCAATTTCCCCGTGTTTTCCCCTTTGGACTTTTCATTTATGAAAATGTTGTCAATGGGTCTCCCCTTGCACTGGCTCAATGGATGTTCTGAAAGCGTGTATCTATACTCAGCAGCAACCCTACTGGTTCAATGATGGCTGATAGTGATGAATGTTTAACTAATAAACCAATCAGTTGTTGACCCCTCGCTCTCTCTCTCTCTCGCTCCCCCTCTCTCTTTCTCCCCTCTTCCCCCTATCCCCGTCTCTCTCTCTCCCCCTCTTCCCACATCCCCGTCTCCCTCTCTCTCTCTCTCTCTTCCCCCCCCTCTTTCTCCTCTCTCTCTCTCTCTCTCTCCCCCCTCTTTCTCCCCCATCCCCCTCTTCCCTCATCCCTGTCTGTCTCCACCTCTTTCCCTCTCCCCATCACTCTCTCTCTCCCCATCTCTCTCTCTCTTCCCCCCTCTTTCTCTCTCTCTTCCCCCCTCTTTCTCTCTCTCTCTTTCCCCCTGTTTCTCCCCCCCCCCCCCCCCCTCCTCTCTTTCTCTCGCTCTTCTCTCTCTTCTCTCTCTTGACATTTCAGTGTCGGACAAGCACCAGTTCAAGAACGAGCCGGTGTTGTACCGTTTTCCGCTACGATGACGGCACCTACAAGGCAGGAGCGAGATGGAGGACATCATGTCAAAGGTTATCGATCTGTGTTGGTGTCAGTTCCATTTCATTCAGTCAATTCAGGAAGGAAACTGAAATTCTTATTTTCTTCAATGCTTCTCTATGAGAAACATTTGGAATTGGACTTCCAGTTTACTTCCTGAATTGTCTGAATTTTAAAAGGAAGACCCCCAAACCCGGGTTTTATAACAGATGAAAAAAAGCAAAAGTGCATGTTGCGCCAAAGCCATAAAAAAAATATCAGTGGGGGAAAAAAAATAAATTTTGTCAGCCACCAAATTTTGCAATTTTTCCCCCCTTTAAAAAAATTGGAAGGGCCTGGCAAATTTTTATCATAGGTTTCACGTCAACTATACAGACAAATTTGGGGGAAAAAAAATCCAGAAAATCCCCATTGGGGGATTTTAATGAATTTTTTTTGGGAAAAAAATTGGGGGAAAATAAATATTTGGTCAAAACAAAAAATTTCTCAAAACCCTTTGTTATACCCTTTGTTGGCAATGACACAGGTCAAACGTTTTCTGAAAGTCTTCACAAGGTTTTCACACACTGTTGCTGGTATTTTGGCCCTTTCCCTCCATGCAGATATCCTCTAGAGCAGTGATTTTTTGGGGGCTGTCGCTGGGCAACATGGCCCTTTCAACTCCCCCAAAGTTTTTCTATGGGGTTGAGATCTGGAGACTGGCTAGGCCACTCCAGGACCTTGAAATGCTTCTTACGAAGCCACTCCTTCGTTGCCCGGGCGGTGTGTTTGGGATCATTGTCATGCTGAAAGACCCAGCCACGTTTCATCTTCAATGCCCTTGCTGATGGAAGGAGGTTTTCACTCAAAATCTCACGATACATGGCCCCATTCATTCTTTCCTTTACACGGATCAGTCGTCCTGGTCCCTTTGCAGAAAAAACATCCCCAAAGCATGATGTTTCCACCCCCATGCTTCACAGTAGGTATGGTGTTCTTTGGATGCAACTCAGCATTCTTTGTCCTCCAAACACGACGAGTTGAGTTTTTACCAAAAAGTTCTATTTTGGTTTCATCTGACCATATGACATTCTCCCAATCCTCTTCTGGATCATCCAAATGCACTCTAGCAAACTTCAGACGGGCCTGGACATGTACTGGCTTAAGCAGGGGGACACGTCTAGCACTGCAGGATTTGAGTCCCTGGCGGCATAGTGTGTTACTGATGGTAGGCTTTGTTACTTTGGTCCCAGCTCTCTGCAGGTCATTCACTAGGTCCCCCCGTGTGGTTCTGGGATTTTTGCTCACCGTTCTTGTGATCATTTTGACCCCACAGGGTGAGATCTTGCGTGGAGCCCCAGATCGAGGGAGATTATCAGTGGTCTTGTATGTCTTCCATTTCCTAATAATTGCTCCCACAGTTGATTTCTTCAAACCAAGCTGCTTACCTATTGCAGATTCAGTCTTCCCAGCCTGGTGCAGGTCTACAATTTTGTTTCTGGTGTCCTTTGACAGCTCTTTGGTCTTGGCCATAGTGGAGTTTGGAGTGTGACTGTTTGAGGTTGTGGACAGGTGTATTTTATACTGATAACAAGCTCAAACAGGTGCCATTAATACAGGTAACGAGTGGAGGACAGAGGAGCCTCTTAAAGAAGAAGTTACAGGTCTGTGAGAGCCAGAAATCTTGCTTGTTTGTAGGTGACCAAATACTTATTTTCCACCATAATTTGCAAATAAATTCATTAAAAATCCTACAATGTGATTTTCTGGAAAAAAAATTCTCAATTTGTCTGTCATAGTTGACGTGTACCTATGATGAAAATTACAGGCCTCTCTCATCTTTTTAAGTGGGAGAACTTGCACAATTGGTGGCTGACTAAATACTTTTTTTCCCCACTGTACGTCTGAAAAGTAGTTGTGGGATGTTGGACTTGGGGAGGGCAAGAGCTGTTACTAGATCAAAGCTTAAAGTGATGTCTGAACACATCTGACTGACTCATGTTTTGTTGCGTGAACTATCACTAAGAAGTCAACTTCCGCCAGGTGTCTCTAGCCGACATCCTACAACACTGCTTCTGCTTTTGGACTCTCAGGGGGAATCCTGACTTCCTCTTAAGTCAAATTTTCATGAAGTCATGCATTGATGTCAATAGAAGACAAGGTAAAAATTTGACTTAAGTAGAAGTTAGAATTTGCCCCTGATTTTTAGGGTTGCCTGTTGAGGAGACAGTGACTCAAAACTCGTTCTCTCTCTACTTCTCGTAGGGTGTGAGGCTCTACTGTCGTCTGCACAGCCTGTACATCCCTGTCGCCAAGTAGGTATCCCTCCTCACACTCCTTCTCCTCTTCCCCTCCTACTCTTTCTCCTCCTCCCCTCCTACTCTTCCCCCATTTCTTCCTCCTCCCCTCTCCACCTCCCCCTCTTCCTCCTCCTACCCCTTTTTTTCTGCCTACTCTTTCTCTGTTTCTTCCTCCTCCTTCTCCTCATCTCTCTTCTTCCCCCTGTCCATCTTATCCCTCTTCCTTCCTTCCTTCCTTCCTTCCTTCCTTCCTTCCTTCCTTCCTTCCTTCCGTCCCGTCCTTCCTTCCTTCCTTCCTTCCTTCCTTCCTTCCTTCCTTCCTTCCTTCCTTCCTTCCCTTCCTTCCTTCCTTCCACATCTACACCCACACACCACACACACACACACCACACACACACACACACACACACACACACACACACACACACACCACACACACACACACACACACACACACACACACACACACACACACACACACACACACTGCTTCGGTCATGCCACCGCCTTTCCCTCTTGCTCTGGGGCATTGATTGGTGTCGCCAGGGCGTCTGTCTCAGACTTAACAGAATGGGTTTGGGAAAAGGTCACACTGATAAAAATATGTCTGTCTGTCACCCTGTCATTATGTAACACTGTTGGACCCATTTGGTATTTACAATGCAGTTTAGTGATAACTAATCTGCCATTTCAGAATGCCTATCGTTAACTGGCTTTGTACAAGGTTTTAAGAACATAGATTTTCGTTTTCCAATGCAAAAAGGCCTATTGCTTATGTTTTTGTTGGTGACACTTTGATATCTCGATAATTTGCAGCTGTTTAAGTTTATCAAAAGTGTGCGAGTTTGAGCATGTGTCCATTAGGTCTATGAATTATAATTTTTTCATCAACATGAATTAGATTGAGCAATAAAATCCCCATTTGTGGTCTTCCTAAATTCAACTGGTGTTTGACAGTATGTGGAGCACAAAACCATGGAGGAGTTTAGAAGGGAGGAACTCCCTCAAACTTTTGTTCCATAGGCTGGGATCCGCACTATGCAGCTGTTGCAAGAGCACATTTTTCACTGGCTGTCAACTGGTCACAAAACAATGATTGATAGGCAGCTAAAACTTATTCAATTCAACCATTATTTGGTTAAAATACACATACATTTGGGAACCGCCATCCACAACAGCCACAATCCGTAAGGTGCAAATAGCTGAACGAGAGAGCAGCAGTGTGATTCACATCATTGCACAATGTACACTACATGGCCAAAAGTATGTGGACCCCTGCTCGTCGAACATCTCATTCCAAAATCATGGCAATTAATATGGAGTTGGTCCCCCTTTTGCTGCTATAACAGCCTCCACTCTTCTGGGAAGGTTTTCCACGAGATGTTGGAATATTGCTGTGAGGACTTTCTTCCATTCAGCCAGTGAACTTTGGAGATATGGAAGTCCCTTTTCCAAAGCTTGTTGAATGAATTCTGTTATTTTCCAGAACTGTAAAAAAAAAAATCTGTAAAATTTCGGTCAATTACTGATGCAAATAGCTTACAAATTGTTACACCTTTCCCATTTTAATTTGACAGATTTTCTTATTAGCCTTATCAACATACACTGAACAAAAATATAAACGCAACATGTAAAGTGTTGGTCCCATGTTTCATGAGCTGAAATAAAATATTGTTTC